TGAAAGCAAACTCGTTGGATTATCATCCAATATACACAGATCACCGGTCAGATCTACAACATGTAGGTGGACTGGTCGACGGTCAGATTGGCGATAGTAAGAGGGAGAAAACACACACTTGTAGTATTACGACCTGGTTACACAGGACCCGCTACAAACCAAGTCGTTTCTATAAGATCCTTCTAAGACATTTTGTGCGGTTTTTGAAGGAAACTACTCCACGTATATACTTTTGAAACCTTTTCTTTATTCTTCCACCTGTATATTTCGTTTGTCTTTGGATTCTAGTCGACTTGGTGCTGTGAATTATTTTACCATACATTTGGCTGTTCTTAAGCTTTTTTGAATTTCTGTTTTTCATTACCTATTTTTAAGTCGTTATGCTCGACATTTTTGTTATGGCGGCTACCATATTTATTTGTTTTTCTTATTCAATTGTGTTGGTGAAATGGCTAAAATTGTGCATATTTTGACTGTGAATTGAAGCAGTTTTTAGAACTGGAAACACGCACTATTCTAACAAATTAAATATTACCTTTCAAACGGTTTGCAGGCGATCTATTCAAAAAGAGTGGAACTATATTCCTGTACTAAAAAGGGGGTTTATTTTCTGCAATTAACTGGAATGTACTTTGAACAGTTACTGGTAGCATAACTTAATAATAATAGTTGTCTAAAGCCATCCTTTATCCACCTACTTTGTTTTGGATTTTGAACGTGCAAGACCAAGCGTATCTCAAGGAAAAGCAAAGGTTATTTCCCAGTCTTCACTGCGTTAGTTTAAAAGCTACAATCTATCTTTCCTATACAACACCCTCTAATCGGAAGAATGTCATAAAATCTTTGGCACTTAATATTTTATTACAGTGAAATATATCCACAGCGAAATTTCACACTGGGTATTTACTATTAGTATTCATACATGAACACTGGGTGATTTTTTAGTTGAAGTTAATAGCACTTTACAATGTGTTCCCAAATGCGCTGAAAAGCAAACTAGGATGTAAATAAATGATATCAAGAACGTTTGATGTTAGCAACATTACGAATCATATTCACTGGGACATACACCAGTCTAGCAGTGAAGTATAAAATATTGAACCTTATATTATTCCCTCATCTGTCTCAATAAACATTGGCTTCTAGACGTTTGTATATTGAAACAAACAAACTCTGAAAGTATCGTCTCATTGGTGACGAAAGAGCATTTGGTAAGAACCAACGTAAGCTTATCAAAACCACAACGAACATTAACCCACTTTGCGTGACTAATTATTTGTGAAGCATTCTGAAAAGTAATTGGTGAGTTGAATATCAGTCTACCGCACAAAAATGCAATACATCACTTTGATTAGGATATCTATGTAATGGCATTAGGCACTAACCACACAACCCTGGAGATGAAACAATACATTTAATATGAATAAAAATGATAAGACAACACACGAGAATGATCACGCCTGTAAGGCTAAGCCATGTCATTCGATTGAATTCAATTAATCCTTTAAACCTTCTCCACTGTTGGGTTTTTCCCGCGTAAAATATTGAATATCTATTTTCCCAGTTTTCTCGTGCTCAGCTTTGAATGTTGTATGGTTAGAGCCCAATGACCATACATGCTAACTTTTATTATACATCAACCGGAGTTTACTGACCATTTATACCCTCTTTGTCTTTACTACAGGAACAAGTTTAAAGGAATTTATTGCCAGTATTGTTTATTCCTGTAGTGGCACATAATGTTGATATTCTTTTTTCTGTCGAAACTTAGAGGCGCTCCGTTACTCACTTAGCTTTCTATCGGCCTAACTTTTGTCGCTCCTCTAACCTTTACATAGATATTGCTCTCTTGAAACAAGTTTTGAGAATAGGACCACATATGATAATTTGGGTAAGAAAAAATCATACTTAGCCATACTAAAGTTGATATATTCGCAACCTTATCATTACAGAACGATGTGATTTTATGCAATAAATTATTATATTTCAAATTTCTCTTCTGGTGATCTCTTCTTTTCCGTGTCACACCAAAACCGGAGGTATAAACATGCGAACTCATATTAATTTCTTTGATTAGAATGGGGAAGTCAGTGTGGGATGCCCTGTGGGATTGTGATGGCACCTAATTCTGATTACTTTTAAGGTAGATTGAAGACTTGTTTAGGCCTTGTGGTCCTTAAGATGATTCCTCGATTATTACCCCTCGACCACTGCCTCTATCTAAACGTCTATCCTCTAAGCCTTTTCAACTTTTCAATAAAGCTCCCCCGGTGAAACAGAAAAACAAATCACATTTTTTGCCCAACTTAAATAAAAAAGAGGTAAGTCAGTCAGTTAAACGTAACACTACACATATGTATATCCGTTCAAGTCGCCACACCCAATTAGTACAGCGTGGTAAAACCATGGGTCAAATCCTGGAGCATTAAAAGTAGTAACATTGTAAGTGTGTGGCGAATTTCGATTTAAAACTCTCTTCACGAACAAATTGCGTGTGACTCCCGTCGGATTTTGTTTTAGCGAATCATTATTATATACTCTATATAGCCAGGGTTGGAAGACTGTCAAGGCCGTTCCGGTCGGTTTTATTTATACTGTTCTATTAACCGGACAGATTACCTTATACCTATTCGATCTGGTTACATACTACCAACCATAGGTAGGATATTTTTTTGCTTCTGTTGCATTTACTTACACTCATATGAAGTGTATTCGTGCGGTCTCTAAATTGATGTCGAGAATATATTATCTGTAGATATATATTCAGTGGGAGTAAAGTATAAGGACAAATTTGAAGCCCTTTTTTTTGCCAACGAACTAACGGTGCTTGGTTGTGAGATGAATTGTGAATAAAGGTCAACATACTTATGGTTGATAAACTTCAATCTTCAGTATTAAGGATAGGAGGACTATCGACCTATATTAATCCTTGCAGTTTGTAACACTGTGGAGGTCCAATCTCGTTTTCGATATATCAACAGAATGTGCTGATATTACATGTTCTTGTAGAGAATTCCAGTAGTTCACTACTCGGTGCAAGAAACAAACCCCAGACGTAAACGGTTTGATCTCGGTTTTTGGACTTTCTTCGAATGTCCTCTCAAATGATCAGTACTTGACGAAAGTAAAAGATGAACAGTGAGCTCTTGTGTATGAATCACTAGGGTATCCATCACATCAACCACAAGGCAAACACGAATTTCACTCTAGGAATAGATTGGTTCGTCCATATAATATACTGTTCCGTGCAAGCATACCAATGTTAAAGCCACTATTTTCAAGTAGTTGGTCTAACATCGAATTGATTTGTTTTTTAAAGAAAGCTATCAAACTGGCTATCCACACTAAGTTTCTCAGTACCTACTGAAAAAGTTGACTTGAAATCAACTATCCACAAATGTCTATCAATATTGGATCTTAATCTTTGATTTAGTTAGGGGTTTAGACCACATATTTATCTTTTCCGTATTGGATGTTCTGTGTCCGTTTCGTCAGGCTTATGTGGACCGTATTTCACGATTAATTCTTGTAAGTTAGAATGACACTCATACAAATGATACATGGATGATCCTTGAGATATCGAGACTATACATTCAAATCACCCGGCTTAGATTCAGGAAACGACCTTTTAACGCTGCAAAACTGACTGGCTCAAATAAACTAGAAGCTGTGCATCCGTTTTGTATTGAGGATTTGGATTTTAAATCTGCCGATTTGTTAGTTCTTAATAAGGATCACTTAACACTTGTTATCGTATCCTATGGTTCTCCCTAAAAAATACCTAAGTCTTCGCCATGAAATATAATTACATTGACCTATTCTTTTATTGATAATGTCCTTAGTGTTCATTTGCCTGCTTAAGTTTTGTCCAATCCGTACCACCAAGTACGAATACGGAGGTTATCCCAAGTCGTATAAAACAAACAACCGGTCAGTCCCTGTTAAGTTCCATACTATATATTTACGCAGCTACTTATAACGAAAGTAAAATTACGGATTTCTTATTTGTTGCTATACATTCCCTCGTAACCTATGTAGCCCGTTCCACAACCACAGAGCAAAGTTATTATCATACTAACATAACGCGGGGAAAGTGTCAAGTTATATACAAAAGGGATCTAGATAGCAAGAGCATCTATGGTAGTAAACCAGTGAACACAGAGAGTTTAGTTCAAAGGTAAATTATGGAATTGAATAAAAGCATGGAAGTCGAAATTATAGTGATGTTAGCGATCATGGAAAACAACGTAATCAGAATGGTTCAGTAAAAACCACTGAAATTGAAAAATAGTAAGGATAAAATAATACTAGAACTCGAGGTCTAGGGAAGGGTAAAATGTGGGAACGCCTGTTTCACTCCCACTTATTCTGTCATATCTCTTCAGGTTTCCAATTGTTTACTACTGTACATTGATTACCAAACGGGTCCCAACTAGGGAGTCTGGATTTACCTACATGGTTCAGAGAAACAGTCTTTGATTTCACGATTCAACTAAACTCTCTAGTTTAGTGGTTTTCGGCAGTGTTTGTGCATGTGTAACATACGTCCCAGCTTTTTTACTAACAGCCTACTGGTTTTGTCACACTTCATATTATTTTTTCTCGGGAAGTAGGTTGCCAATCGTGGAGTTGATTTGTGTCAGTGGTCGTGCTTAATACTGAGAGTTTAAACACCATTTCGTCTTCATAAGTCATATGATTTTTGTACCTGAACTTTCAGGGTATTTTTAATCTCGCTTTTAACAAATAATAGTGTAAATGAACATCGCTTTTCGGAGTGGGAGACAAAACAAGCGTTTTTGTTTTACGTGAGACACCTCTGTGATGAATTTGTCGATACTTTTTTACAACCTGTAATGATGTACTGACATAACTTATTAATCGATGCAATACTGATTTTCGTTAATGCTTTCTGTTTGTTGGTTTCAGTTCATTGAATTCAGGCCTGCTGCTGTCCTCGTATAATTTACAGGAAACCACTGACATCAGCTGTTCGTGGGATGCTGGAAAATAATGCAGCTAGTAATGTCGAAACTTGTGAGGGAGAGTGTCAATTTCCTGAAGATTTAAAACAACATAGAATTTCCAAGACCGCAATGTCTCCAGAGATTGCTGATCGTTCATTATATTGTGGTATCTACAAATGGCGTCCTCCGTTTTTGCGTAGTTCTGGAAACCTAATAGCTTTCCTTGCTGCTGCTTGCTTTATATCTTGCCTGCAGTCTTCTTTTTCTGGTTACACAAGCTCTCAAGTGACAACTTTAGAAAAACGGTTTGCGATAGGCAGCAGTGTTATAGGAGTAATCAATTCTTGTTTTGAAGTTGGCTATATTTTTTCTGTTACATATGTCAGTTACGTTGGAAGTCATGGTCGAGTACCTGTGTGGATATCAATTGGTCTTTTTATAATGTCCGCTGGATCATTTTTGTGGTCTCTGCCTCACTTCGTTTTCTTTGATAGGAGTAGAACAAGTTCTGTTTCCTTAAATGAACAACTTTGTGTTTTATCCAAGAATACAAGTACCTGCGCTGAAGGATGTGATGACAAGTCGTTAATTGGCTGTTCAGAATCTTCTACCATTGGTTATGCCTTTCTTCCCGTTTTTATTCTTGCCCAGCTGTTGATTGGTGCTGGTTCGAGTCCAATTTTGACATTAACCCCCCCTTTCATCGATGATCATGTACCTTCTTCTAAAGCGCCCCCAATGATAGGTAATTTTGTATCCATTTATTTTACTGATTAGTCATGTTTTATCATTGTTTCGATCGAAATACGGTTAATCTGTCATTTAGGTGTTGTGGAATAGTCAAAAATAGTCACAATTTTGCTCGTATTCATTACCGTTATCTGTAAACCAATATTTGATGTAGTTGTGAGAATGTGTTAGAATATATTAAATTGAATTAAGAAATATAGTAGGGCTGTGAATGCTAAAAGTTGTTTAACCTAGTCATACCGGAGTTCGGTATACACATAATATCGTCTGAAGTTTGTCATCTTTCTAAAATGTCAGAATTCCTATTCTAAATATGATGAAGATTGATCAGCTCCAGTTTTATCAGCAATCATAGTTTGTAGTTCAAGTTCACTAAAAACATCGTATGAAGTAGTTGTTATTATTACTTTTATTTTCTCCATTTTGCCTCCAAATAAAATTGCACAGAAATGTGGTAAATGGATAGCATCATACAATTAAACTTAACTAGTGCGTAAATTAAGTATGTCCTTTTATCACCACCATTTAGTGTACCATATTAGATAAATATAGTGTTAAGCGAGAAATGACACAATTAGGTTGTTGATGTCATTGTTAATCTTTTTCTTCTGCGCTACATGTCATAAGTCATCGATTAGTATCATAGTATTAAAAGATTCAGAAACGATTGAAAGGCCCTCTAATACTTTCACGTTACCCTCATATTCTAGCCATATTATTGTTTCATACCTTCGTCCCTTGTTCGCTTTCTAATAGATCTTATTATTACGTTTCCTTATGTGTTGATATGAGGTGTTAACATGATAACTATTCTTAATTAGAATTGTGTGTCCTTGCAGTTTAGGTGATAGTGCAAACATGTTCTTTATGGCTATTGTACTACTGAGTTATGAAAATGAGATGCAATGTCACAACAAAATGTTTAACCATGATCCAGGGAATGGTACTTTTTATATATCCAGCTTCGATGGCTCGTACTTTCAGCTTGTTTCTATCAGCCGTCTTCTTAAACAAAAGAAGAGTACCAGATGATCCCATTTTCTGTAGATCAGTTAATTTCTAAATCTATTTGACACTACAAAGAATAATGATGTCACCTCACATCTGTTGTTGACTCACTAATACCTTCATTATTCTCCAGGTTTACTTGGTGTAAGTATTAAGTGTCGTATTCAAAAATCTCATATTTTCAAATGTCTATATGGCTTTTGATTTTGATCACTGAATTGTATTGGAAAATAACACTAGGTAACTCTTTTATTTCTTGTTTTGTGTATATCCACTTTTATTACTTAAGTTTTTCTACAGACTGCATTTTTTGCTTGATTTTATATTACATTTTAATCAAGAATAGTTCCTCTTCTTTACTTTTAACGCGAAATATTATAGCTTCGCTATATGCAGCTTCAGCAATGGGTCCTGTTATAGGATTTGCCTTGGGAGCGTTTTTGCTGCAGTACCCAGCTGATGTCTTAACTATGTATAGACCTTTCAAAATAGGTCCTGGTGATCCTGAATGGATTGGTGCCTGGTGGGCCGGATTCATTTTATTAGGTTAGTAATAATTTACGTAATAATAATCTCATCCTAGGCAATTTTTTCTTGAAGTACTTTGATGTACTATTGTTAAGTTCTTTTGGTTTAAATAGTAAACATGTTAATAGTGTTCTTGTTTTTTTCTAACCATAATTATTAAATACTTTTTGTAGGGTGAGAGAAACGACGACATATTTGCTTGAAGAACATTTAGGTTCTATAGTTTCAAAACGTGATTGATTATTTTGTTAAAATCACTGATTTTACATTACTGTACAAATTAAATTAGAAAACAGTTGTGCTTTAATAGTAAGGGGATGTACCAAAATAGTGAAATGGGCTGGTTTAATGTACTGATTCCATTGATATTTAAAGTAGCAATCTTCTCTATAGAGCATCATTCAAGCGTACGTGTAATGTTCAGACCACAGTCATCCGGTGTTTGGGTAGTTGGTCACTGAACAGTAACTGATTTCTCTTTTAGTTCTTAGTACTGGCTAAATTCTATCGATCCGGTTTACAATACAGTCACTCGGTTAAACGACTTGACATTGGTTAATGATGTATTAGCCTAATAACTCATATCCTTTCTTATTTAACTTCAAATAACTATGACAGAAGCTTATCTAGGTAAATTCAACAGTGAAATCTCAATCGTCTAGTTTATTCGAATCATGTTGGCTAATGTGTTATTCACTACATCAGCACATCTGTACCAGATTCTAAGTTGTTTGTATCTATCATTTTGTTTTTAATTTCTTTAAAAGTGTAGTTGGTCTTCACTTAGTTCGGTTCTTGTTTGAATAATCTAATGTCTCTAATGATCGTTGTTCATATGATCTTCTAGCTGACTAAAGAGGTTGAATAATTTAATTAGTGTATCCTTTATTTACCTATAATGTTAACATTGATTCATTGGTTTCTCAAAAATTATATCCTATTTATGTCATAGTTTGACTGATAAGCAAAATACATATTTGTATGTGAACTGAAAATGGCATGTACATTTTGAAAAGTTAAGAATTTTTACATAGTAATTTATCAGATTATCTATTTTTTCTATCGAAATAAAACTTGTTATTTATACTTTTCTAGGAGGTCTTGTTTTCATTGGGGCCATTATACTCTTGATGTTTCCGAGAAAATTACAGGAATTCTCTTGTGATCCTTTGAAATCGAAGAAATTGTCCATTAAGAGTGTACCAATGAATAATGGTTGTGTATTAAGTGAATCAAGTAAATTGATCAGTATATTCTACTTATTATGTTAATTAATTCTATTTTTTTTAATTAATTTTTTTCCATTTAAACGTGATCACAATTACAATTTAATAATTATATTATTTAGTCGAATTCATTTGATGGCTAACTTTTTGATTTTTCTTGGAGATATACAATTTGCACTTAATAGTATAGGGTTGTGAAAATTATTAGGTTTATATTGATATCATGAATGGATCAATGTTAGACTATGAGTGAAAACCTGGAAGTACTGGACGGCCATTTCGTTCTAGTATGGGACTCCTCAGCAGTGCGCATTATAACTTATTCAAAAAAACAAATCAGTATTGATTCAATTAAAATTCTGTAACTGTAGGTTATTCAGTGTGAACACTGTTCATGGAATTCCAGTACATTACGTAGATTTGTGTTAATGTGACAAGTATTCAGTTTAAATATACTTTGTTTAATTTTGTACTGGGTTAACATCGAAAGCTAGTAGTAATTTCCGTAGTATTAAAGTTAGAGTAGTGAATTATTAGCTCAGCTTACTAATATATCAGTTTTTATATCCAGTCATTTAACACTGATTAGTAGTAGTAGTAGTAGTAGTGAGGGCTTGAAATATAAAATCGTCTTTATATGTACTTCTTGCACTTCAATGAGATTATGTTTTATAACGGAACTGAATAAAAGTCGTCCTTTTAAAATGTAAACGTTTGTGTTGTTTTTCTCTAGCATTACGGTTTTAATCATTTAGGGATTGAAACATCTGTACCAACAATTTATATGGTACCAACAGTTATGCCAAAGTATCACGTAGATGAATAAACAGACAAATTACGTGAAATTTAGCACAATGCGAAAAGAGTAGTAAGAAACCAAGGTGAACAGTTACAATTGGAAGATTGCAGCATTAATAAATGATCGTGAAAAGAAGATTGTAGTTGACTTTTTGTGACCCTGGTAGCAATAAATGATTCAAGATAATCCCATTAATCATGCATAGGCCCAATAATTATAAGTTCACCGAATTTCATTCACTGAACTGATATCATTCTGATTTTTTCTCTTAATTGCCCCCAAATGCCCTGGTACGGCCGAGAGTGAGCAAAGTCCGCTCTCCCTCTCGAAATGGTCTCACATGGCCACGCGTACACAGCAACTGGTGGGGGATTCCTATTCACTGACTTCTCGTAGCAAGTGTTGTTTACAAAACTGAGAGGACGGAAAGCAAATATCCGGTGTTTTTAACGAGGTTGATGGACATGAAGGGTCCACCTAGAGGAGTTGGAAAACCCTGATTCCAAACCAATGGAGCACATGGGCTCTAGGATCCTGAAGGAACAAATGGAGTATGAACCAGTCGTTGGTCACCGGCTACCATGGGACTGCATCTCCTTACGTTGCTCCACTTCCTTGTGAATCAGGCCTTTAGGTTGAAGGCTTCAGGTGTGGTCCCCCAAGAAGGCCACCTGCTTCGGTCTGGGCACCAGGGCAGTATCACAGCACATACACAAATCAAGTGGCTTGTGTGGTGCATATATATTCGGTGCCCCTTTGTACCAATATTTAGGTGTTTAAGTAAATAAATAAATTTTCTCTTAATTATTAAGTTACGTTTATTATCGTTAATATGATTGGTGGCTCATAGGTTTTTGCTTTACTTTATAAGGCTAAATTTCCCATATACAAGTGCTTCAATCGCAGTATTTTATTTGTAATATTGACTGAGTGATTGATTCAAGTGTAAGATTAGTTAGAATCAGAGTCTTCTTCATCCCTGAAATTTGTGGGAAAAAGTAATTTTATTGTTAAATTACTAGATGATTCTCAACTAATAACTATGTACTAAATAGTTCTTTAAACTTGGTCGGTGTGTGCCAGTTTACGTTAGTAAATAATCAGTACACAAATCGAGTGGTTAAAAAATTGTAGTTAACTTTAAATTTTGCTTAAATTTTAACCAGTTAAATTTCGAGGTACCATTATAAATAGAAGAATAACGGTTATGCTATGTCTATCTAATTGACTTTTTAAGCTCTTAGATAATGATCAGTTGAGTTTGTACTGTTTAAAATGTTTCAGATTATATTACTACGAATATGATTATCAAACTGAAATTAAGAGTTCCAGTTTTCTAATTATTTCTCATGATTTCTGTACGTTAGAAACTTACAACTCTTAGTTTACACAATGGATTTGTGCTGTTCAGCTTTCAGTAGTTGTACATACAACAGACAGCAAGAAAAGTGCATTAGCTAAGAATTTCGTAGGAACAAAGAAATGGACTAATTTCGAATACTTTTTTCTTTTGATGGGGAAAATTAACAAAAACAATTATAAGTAAGCAGATGATAAGTGATTAAAAGAAAATAATCAGTCAAGTCGAATAGACTTGTGTAACTATTTTTCCTGGACTAGTGGTTGATAAGGATAATTATTGGAATGTAGGTGAGAATTTTGTCGCTAAAAGGTATTGGCTGGAGTCATAATTTTATCATTATGAAGTTACTTTCACATTCGTTATTTAAAAGGGTTTGGTAGTAAGAATAAAAATGCTATTTGTTATTGTTATTCCTGATATCTTTTCTCATAGGTAACGCAAAGAATTTTAATGTAGTTGGTAAGTAGTTAATAATTCAGTAATCTTCGTATACAACCTAGACAACAGTTTCTAAATGTAGCTGTTTTCTTATTTTATTTATTGTTTAGCTCCAATGAGGCCACATGATAAATGTACAAATTCTACGTTAGAAACTGAAATAAATCCTGACAATGACTCTGAATATCAAGTAAGTTTTTTTGAATTGACTATAGTTATGATTGAGTAGATAGGGTTAGCAACAACAGGATTACATATTTTATAATTTTCCGAGTTCCATCCAGAACTGTTGAATAAAGTAACAAATTTCCTCCGAAAATCATGTTATCTCAAGAAAGACTAGAGTATTACTCACTTTACCATACTAATGATTCTGTTAAATTTCTTGATAATTATAATTGAATTGGAGCTAATCATATCAATCGATTAATTAATTATTAGTTAGAATGATCATTGTTAAATTTCATAGTTCTGTTGATAACTTATCGGACAATAAACCAAGTAACCTCTAGTTATTTGCCAGATATACCTACATCATTCCCGCATAATAACATAACTGTTTAGTCCATCGGTGCTTATTTGTAATACTATTTTTTGTCATTGTTCATCATTACACAACAAAACTTTAGTGAATATTTTCATTTCAGTGACACGACGATAAATTGATCGTGAAAAATATTAGAAAATGGCATTGTGACTACAGCCTTCAAAATGTTCATCTAGAGTATGATAAAATTTAATCCGATTCATTTTGTTAAATTTTATAGCCTATCCGTTATACAAGTTCTTTAATGCCCAGTATCTGACTCCAATTCGGATGAACATACGAATATGCTATGAGCATAGATCTCTCATTTAACTCTGTATATTACCTAGGCTAACACCGTTTATGTGACAGCGGTAATACGAAGCCAAATACGGGTTGTGTTGGATGAATTTATTTCAATCACTCGTTTATCCAGATAGACATTCAGAGAAACGAAGTGCAGAAAGAGCGAGCGAAGCGGAGTAAAGAAGGCAAGGGAGCCAACTCAGTTTAATCAAACGTGACTCAATACTTATAGTCAGACAAAAATAAGCTGCAGGCATCTGATAAATAGGATGGGCAATGGACACATAAAAACTGTCAGGGTCAATAAGTGAATAATTAACAAGGTCAAAATGTGACTTCGAAACAACGAATAAACCGGTTTGTCCAGAAGTTAGAATAACCCATGTGAGCTTGACATAGTGTTAGTAATATCAGTAATTCAGAGTTATTTTCTTTGCATGAAATTATGAGGGAAATTTACAGCTTAAGCGTTTGTTTTTGATAATGTTACGTTGTGTAAGCTGAATAATCTTAATTACAAACGTTTTTTTTCGTAACGTTCTCGAGCTGACACATTGTTGTATAAAATTATACACTGCTTCATTTAACCATTGACTGTTTGTCCTAATGTAAAAGTTATGAAAAATAGTATATCTGCAAATAACATTTTAAAAGAAGTGGTATAAGAAATGTACAAATAGTATTCTGTTAATAACATTATTAAGATTCTGGAATTTATGCATCGATGATAATCTTACATTATATAGTTGTTTACACATTCTGAGGGTAAAAATATGTAATATTTTAATTATAATGATTTACTAACATACAATAAGTGGTTTATTTGAGGTGATGTTCACTTGTTGTATAGCGGATAACAGGTTGTACAAAAAACCACTTGATTGATTCTGCTTTGAGCTTTTCATCCAGTATTGATATTCAATTTTCATTTACGTACAAAATACAACTATGCAGCTTTCTATAGCTACATTAGTATTTTTAAAAAGTAGCTTCCTATTTCAGCGAAAGCACTTGAAATTCTACCCGCTTGTTCAGGTGGTTTGCAATATCTTTCCCCCTTTACATCTGTGAATAACAAGCTTGTTATACATAAATAAATTTAGTACTGTTTATATCTCAACAGTTTATTGTTCACTCAATTACATTAATAATAAATAGAATATATATTCCCTACATTTCCTAATTTATTTCCAATCATGTAAGTGTTTACATCCAAAGCTGTTCTCTGTATATTCCCTCCCCGGAAATAATGAATAATTTACTTACTCATAATGAGCTTGTTAGTAATTAAAACAAAAATGAAATCATTTCATTCTGATTTATGAGAGGATAATTAAATCACTAGGTCATTTATTGCTTCTCGCTTATAGATAATGTTGTATTTCTGATTTCTTGTGTGTATAGGGTCCTAGGGTATATATATAAATAAATCACTTCATAGGTTATTTCGAAGTTTAGTCAAATTTGAGGTATTAGTCGGTGTATAACATATATATGAAAAGTAATGGAATTATATTAATTTTATGAAGGATTATCGTTCATGAATGTTCAATAGATTGTATCAAAATTATTGACTATCTTCTAAAGACATATTTGTTTGATACTAATATTTGTAATTCATTAACTGTTTTGAAGAAAAATCGTATACACTCGGCTTTAAGTCAGAGTTTTTGTACAGGGGCTAGCGATGTGTATTATCTGTTTACTTGAATGAAAATAAAGTTGTTGTCTGATGGTTATACGTTTAGGGCTCTTACCAGTAAAACAACACTTCAAACTGTAAGTAATTTCTAAAGTAGTAACCAGTTAATAATAAAAATAATATATTTGTAATATCCCAGTGAGTAGGAAAATTAAGTTTGTAAATTTCTTGACGTTTCGTGACTCAGTGTAAGCCACTTCTTTTCTGAAGAAATGGTTTATTAGAGGTGAAATATTACAAATATATTATTTTAATAACAATCTGCTCATTTATATATTTAAACACCTAAATATTGGTACAAAGGGGCACCGAATATATATGCACCACACAAGCCACTTGATTTGTGTATGTGCTGTGATACTGCCCTGGTGCCCAGACCGAAGCAGGTGGCCTTCTTGGGGGACCACACCTGAAGCCTTCAACTTAAAGGCCTGATTCACAAGGAAGTGGAGCAACGTAAGGAGATGCAGTCCCATGGTAGCCGGTGACCAACGACTGGTTCATACTCCATTTGTTCCTTCAGGATCCTAGAGCCCATGTGCTCCATTGGTTTGGAATCAGGGTTTTCCAACTCCTCTAGGTGGACCCTTCATGTCCATCAACCTCGTTAAAAACACCGGATATTTGCTTTCCGTCCTCTCAGTTTTGTAAAAAAAAAACACTTGCTACGAGAAGTCAGTGAATAGGAATCCCCCACCAGTTGCTGTGTACGCGTGGCCATGTGAGACCATTTCGAGAGGGAGAGCGGACTTTGCTCACTCTCGGCTGTCCCAGGGCATTTGGGTGCACAATGTACCCAACGCTTAATTAGTTTGAAATTATCAAGTTTAACTTTGATATTGACACCCACAAACTCATTAGTAACCAGTTAGCTAAAAACAGTAAAAATCAGAGTTTTGAGAGACATTCCTTTAGATATTATTTTGTTCATTAGGTATACAAGATAGATCGCATCAGTTAGTTCATGAGCAAAGAATGATAAATTAATGTCTAAGACAGTCAATCATATTTAACTGGTTATGTAATTGCTCTACGTGCTTAATAATAGACGTCCCTTTGTCTCGTGAAATCTATTATGAGACAACAGACTACTGTGATATTGGTAGTTGCTAAGTGTTTCAGTCCACAAAATAACAATGTGGTTTACGATAAAAATACTGAATCGTACAGCTAGTTATGAAGTAGTACTTGTTGGTGGTCAAATTTTTCATGACAGTTCGGAATTACGGTTTGTTGTTATGATCTTATCTTGTCATATCTATGGTTTGATATCCTCATTTAGATCTCTTTTACAAAATTCTTCCATATTTAATTCATAACATTTTTTCCCTCTTGATAGTATAAATATACTGCTAACAATTTAGTAGATAATAAATTAGTTAATACATGATATTCAAAAGTCTATATCCGACTAAAGTGTTTATAATTGTTATAAAACTCATTTTGTATTGTTTGTTTGTATCTTAAGACTGAAATTGATCAGTCTCTTATTGGTATACGCTCATTCTGTGCGGATTGCTTTGATGTTGCCTTCAGTCGCAAGCATTATAAGCAAAGATGGATGGTGGCTAGATATATTCAATGAATAACCGTATATTTCTGCTTCTCATATTGATTGAACATACCAGTAGAGTTTTGTTTTGAACTCTTCTGGTAAAACATTATATTAGCAGTTAAAAGATGTCTAGTCAATACTATATAGTACAAATAGAAGCAATGGTAATAGTAGCCTAATACTTTTCTAATAGGCTCTTGAAAATAGCTTGTTTTCAATTATTTCCAATTACTGATTATATTCAACAAATAAAGGTCATATTTGTGTTGCAGCACACGCACACACACTTCATCTTTTTAGTCTGGCTATGTTTTTTTCTCTCAAAATAATTTTATTTGTTTAGATAATTATAGAGAGATTTTTCCACTCGCTGTTTACATACCTATTTCAATGTCTTTGCCTGTAATCAGTCTTGTATTATTTTTTTTTCGCTTCTGTCTAAAATAATTTATGAAATTTGGCACGGCCGGCAACGGTAATAGCTTAGTAAAAATAAAACAAACTGTTGCAATGAGAGTTAAAGGATAAAAAGTAAAAAAAATTAAGAATTTCGACAAATACACAATACTACTAATAATAATGATAAACTATAATCCTTATTGTGTCTTCAATTTACACATCTCTGCCACTTTGAATGTTTGTTTTAAAAAACCAATTTCTAACTCTATCCTGTGACTCGGTACTTGTAGAAATTACTGTCCTAACTTATACCAATATTTGATCTGAAGAAATGTGGTTCTCCATCATCAGTTAAGATACACTCGGACGGTTTTCAAACATTGTGATTGATTGATTTTTTAGGAAACGTCATGATGATTGCATTAATAAATTATCCTCTTTCATAAGTGATATACATAAATTCTTCAGAGAAATTACCAACAAAGATATAACTGATCATGTTAATGAGAAATTGACAAAAATCTTGAAAAAGATTAACGGTGAATCAGTTATCAGTAGTTATATATTTGAATACGTGAGATTGAGAAGCTCTACTATTCTACGAGCGTAAGGAAGTCTGAAAACAACTAAGAAAGATGCTCCCCTTTGGTCCATAATGAATATGAATTACTCATTATTCCGACTTGGTTGGTGGAAATTCTCCAGTCAATGAAAAATACGGTTAGTAAATAATAAATCCTCAACTCATTTGCTAGGTGTATGCACTTTCTGTCTTGCTTTAAATTATGAGATTAAAGTTACTTTATATTTTTCGTTTTACCAACTAATTCTTTCTTTCTGTACTTTATCCTTATATGCAATTTTTCTTTTATATATTGCCACCATAGAATTAACTACTTCTATGAATTCGGTGTTCATCATGTTGTGCTAATGAGGTTTGGCAACTTGGACCGATGCATATATGTGCCTGGTCCTACGTTGTAACTGACTGACTGACATTTGCTTTTATTGATCTAGTCATCGAGATCAAGGTTTCTGGGGAAAGAGCGGATTTTTGGATGTTGCGTCCATCTTCACAAATATCCCTTTTATAGAGAGAATCTGTTTCGTTTGTTATTATATTGAAAATAACGACACTAATATTGGTTTTTCAAAACACTGTCTAAAAAAATTGACTTAAATTCTCTACATTAAATGTGATTTTGAACCTCACTACTTCTGACTCTATATGATCTAAAACCACGTTTGAGTAGGTATGGAAAATTTCTTCCAATACCTACTATCTTATATAGCTTATTATATACAGTTTTGTTTCTGTGTTGTATCTGCTCCTTCCTTATTTGTTGAGCGGGTGCTTCATCTCAATACTGTCCTTTACGTCCTTTGTCAGATATTGAACAAATCTATATGTGGTTGTAATTTATTCGTGCACAGTAAGCTCTTATGATTTTGATTACTTCTCAAAATAAATCTAGTGAACTACTTTCTTAGTTTCTCCTTTTATAATCATATATGAAGCGTGGACATATGAAAGTCATGTAACATTCTAAGATTTCTTTTTTGACTTACGTAAATCTTAATGGCCTGGTAAAACGAAAAATATGTTGTTTATTGAAATTAGGCATCAACCAAAATAAAATACTGCATTCGACTACATAAAATGATGTATATACTTAGGTTTTTATCAATATTAGTCAATTTCACTCCATTCGTTTTACGGATTTTTCTTAGAGCCCTTGGTCAGATTTTTCTTCTTCACGACGAAGTCAACGAAAAAGTCGAAGCTCAAATCCTCATTTTCAAAGTCAACCGCTTGATTCAAAGAATACATGGAGTGGTAAGACTATAATCTTGTGTTCACTATTTCTCAGTAATCAATTTAATTTTTTAATTGTTTAGTATTTGGAAAACATTGTAGGTTTATAATTTTAACTCCACAGCGTTAATATATTGGAAGATATTTATTTCATTTATTAGTTTTTGAAATATATAGATTTGCTGAAATCATCCATCCGTTTCTGCTTAAAATTGCGTGAACGTATATTAAAGCGTTAGACTGACTTGAAAACCCACAACTTATGACCTAAATTAGTGACTTTAAGTTGTCTTCATCTATGATGAGTTAGACGGTCGGGTTGTATCACTAGGTCTCAAAACCAAGTATTCATACTTATTACACAGGTTATTATTATTTCTCAGTAAAATACATTGGCTATACACTTCATTATCCTGATTTTATTCAAGTTTAAATCATTTTGTACTTATTATGGAATCAGTGATTACGCAAACAATGTACCTTAATGTGTGAATGAGTAAATAATTGATCCAATAAATGTGAGTTTTATTTATTACATGTATATTTATCAGGGCTTTTTTCATATGAGTATTACATTTAAGTTATTGAATCATTAGTTTATTAGATATTCTCGCCTCAGTTGATGCTTATTTAAATGGAAAACTTTACAGGAAAAACTTTTATTGTGAAATACTAACAGATATATCTGTTAACCTTCTTAACAGACAAAAAATAGACCGATATTTGAAGTTCGAATTTCATTTACTCTTTCAGTGATCTTCAAATCATCATTGAATTCCGTTAAAATTTGCTGTATGAAATTTTCAATCACATTTCTTCTATTCTACACTTCGGTAATATTAATAGAAAAGAAAGAAAATACAACTGTGATTGTGCACTCAATCATTGAGTTCCTTTATTAGTTATTCGGTTGCCGGTTATTAGCATATAATGTTGAAGGGTTCCATGCAAAGATGAAACATTTATTCAGTAATCCATAGTCTTATTAGTTGTCTAATTTATGTCATATCATGGTATAAACTGTCTACATATTGCTTTCTAAAAAAATTATTTCCTCTTTGTTTTTCTTCACAATTTCCTAGATTTTAGTACCGTCGTGTGTTCACTTATTCGAAATAAAATTTACATTATGGCTTGTTTTTGTATATGTTCAGAAATGTTTATTGTTGTTGGGTTTGCATCATTTTTACCAAAATATTTAGAAATGGGATTTCGAATTAATAAATCGTCAAGCAGTTTAATAGCTGGTAAGTAGCAAATAATTAATTTATTTCCAATATATATATATATATATATATATATATATATATATATATATATATATATATATATATATAGTTCAAATATGTGAAATAAATATTTGGGGCAAACTAAAACTCATATAAGAATTTTTTCAGAATTCACATATCCTTAATCCATTCATACCGAATAACATTTTGCTCTTACATTAGTCTGTTGATCACAGAGATAAATGCTTACCAAAATTCAGTTTTTCAATAGTATTCTACTAGAAATACAATAATATGTTAGAATTCTTAGTTCACAATGCAAAAGTTCATTGCTAAATTGCTGATAAAGTTTATGAATTAAAAGTCATTATTTTAGGAGTCCCTGGAGTCCCTCCGGGGGCTACTGCCGGTCCCAAGCCCGGATAAAGGAGGAGGGTTGGGCATGGGGTTAGCGTCCCCATCCCGTAGAAAACTAACTCGCTAAAAAAACGCTAACCAGAAAAAATTATTCAAACCTTTTAAACTCTGCCCTGGGAGTCAGAAGATCTTCATTTAGAAGAATTATGACGCCTCATGATGAAAGCCGAATCCCTTCGGAAGTTATGAGGCCGATGCCCCTTCTGACAACCAGAGCAACCATTTATTTAGGTACATGGAATGTTCGTACAATGTGGGACACCGGAAAAGCCTTCCAGATTGCTGCAGAAATGAGAAGATACAACCTAGAGGTACTTGGGATCAGTGAAACACACTGGACACGAGTTGGACAACAACGACTAACTACAGGAGAGCTCCTGTTATACTCCGGCCATGAAGAAGAAAATGCACCACATACACAAGGAGTTGCATTGATGCTGTCCAAACAAGCACAAAATGCACTTATAGGATGGGAATCTCATGGACCAAGGATCATCAAAGCCTCGTTTAAAACAAAGAAAGAGGGCATTTCAATGAACATCATCCAATGCTATGCACCTACCAACGACTACAATGAAGACGCGAAAGATCAATTCTACAATAGGCTGCAGTCAATAGTCGAGAAGTGCCCAACAAAGGACCTGACCATTCTGATGGGAGATTTCAACGCCAAGGTTGGAACGGACAACACTGGATATGAAGACATCATGGGACGACACGGACTGGGAGAAAGAAACGAAAATGGTGAGAGATTTGCAAACCTATGTGCCTTCAATAAGCTGGTCATAGGCGGCACCATATTCCCACATAAACGCATACACAAAACCACATGGACTTCACCGGATCACTCTACACAAAACCAAATCGACCATATTTGCATCAACAAAACGTTCAGGAGGACTATAGAGGACGTGAGAACCAAGAGAGGAGCTGATATAGCATCAGATCATCACTTACTGGTCGCCAAGATGAAATTGAAACTCAAGAAGCACTGGACAATGGGGCAGACAGTATCACAAAAGTTCAATACGGCCTTTCTCCAGGATACTAATAAACTCAACGAATTCAAGATAGTCCTCAGCAACAAGTTCCAGGCCTTTCATGATCTACTCAATGGAAAAGGAACTACTGTGGAGAGCAACTGGAAGGGGATCAAAGAGGCAATCACTTCAACATGTCATGAGGTCCTGGGTCACAAGAAGCACCACCACAAGGAATGGATCACTGTTGGTACACTGGATAAGATTCAAGAAAGAAGGAACAAGAAGGCAGCAATCAATACCAGTCGAACAAGAGCAGAAAAAGCCAAGGCACAAGCTGAATACACGGAAATAAACAAACAAGTGAAGAGGAGTATCAGAACCGACAAACGTAAATATGTGGAAGATTTAGCAACGACGGCGGAAAAGGCTGCAAGAGAAGGAAACATGAGACAACTGTATGACACGACAAAGAAACTCTCTGGAAATCGCCGCAAATCAGAACGACCAGTGAAAAGCAAGGAAGGCGAGGTAATCACCAACATTGAAGAGCAACAAAACAGGTGGGTAGAACACTTCAAAGAACTGTTGAATCGACCAGCTCCACTGAACCCACCCAACATCGAAGCAGCACCCACGGACCTCCCAATCAATGTTGGCCCACCAACAATTGAAGAGATAAGCATGGCCATCAGACAAATCAAGAGTGGCAAAGCAGCAGGACCGGACAACATCCCAGCAGAGGCACTAAAAGCAGACGTAGCGGCAACTGCAAGGATACTCCACATTCTCTTCAATAAGATTTGGGATGAGGAACAAGTACCAACAGACTGGAAAGAAGGACTGCTGATCAAAATACCGAAGAAAGGCGATCTCAGCAACTGTGATAACTACAGGGGCATCACTCTTCTCTCAATACCGGGAAAAGTCTTCAACAGGGTATTGTTAAACAGGATGAAGGACTGCGTAGACGCCCAACTTCGTGACCAACAGGCAGGATTCCGTAAGGATAGATCGTGTACAGACCAAATCGCAACTCTACGGATCATTGTGGAACAATCAATTGAATGGAATTCATCACTCTACATCAACTTCATTGACTACGAAAAGGCATTTGACAGCGTGGACAGAACAACACTATGGAAACTTCTTCGACACTACGGCGTGCCTCAGAAGATAGTCAATATCATACAGAACTCATATGATGGATTACACTGCAAAATCGTGCATGGAGGACAGTTGACAAAGTCGTTCGAAGTGAAGACCGGTGTTAGGCAAGGTTGCTTACTCTCACCCTTTCTCTTTCTCCTGGTGATCGACTGGATCATGAAGACGTCAACGTCTGAAGGAAAGCGCGGGATACAATGGACATCTAAGATGCAGTTGGATGATCTAGACTTCGCAGACGATCTGGCCCTTCTATCCCAAACGCAACAACAGATGCAGGAGAAGACAAACAGTGTGGCAGCAGCCTCAGCAGCAATAGGTCTCAATATACACAAAGGGAAAAGCAGGATTCTCCGATACAACACAGCATGCACCAATCCAATCACAATTGACGGAGAACATTTGGAAGATGTAAAAACCTTTACGTATTTGGGCAGCATCATTGATGAACAGGGTGGATCTGATGCAGATGTGAGGGCGCGGATCGGCAAAGCAAGAGCAGCATATTTACAACTGAGGAACATCTGGAACTCAAAGCAACTGTCAACCAACACCAAGGTCAGGATTTTCAATACAAATGTCATGACAGTTCTACTGTATGGGGCAGAAACCTGGAGAACTACAAAAGCCATCATCCAGAAAATACAGGTGTTTATCAACAATTGTCTACGCAAAATACTTCAGATCCATTGGCCGGACACTATTAGCAACAACGTACTGTGGAAGAGAACAAACCAGATCCCAGTGGAGGAAGAAATCAGGAAGAAGCGCTGGAAGTGGATAGGACACACATTGAGGAAAGCACCCAACTGCGTCACAAGACAAGCCCTCACATGGAATCCTGAAGGTCAAAGGAAAAGAGGAAGACCAAAGAACACATTACGCCGAGAAATGGAGATAGACATGAGAAAAATGAACAAGAATTGGATGGAACTAGAAAAGAAGGCCCAGGACAGAGTGTGTTGGAGAATGCTGGTCAGCGGCCTATGCTCCTTTGGGAGTAACAGGCGTAAGTAAGTAAGTAAGTAATATGATGATATGATAATAACATGTTAATTAATCATCTTTTTGGATAGTGACAAAATAATAATCACTATAGGAGATTTGTAGAGCATGTTTAGTTTGTAGTTTACATTACGAACTTTGTCAAAACAATCACCGAAAATTAGGAAGTAACGGATGGTTGTTTTGTGCATTATAGAATCCTATCATATTGGGATGTGACAAATGTCAGAGATGACAGCGAATAATCATTGCTGATGTAATGGATTGTCTGAAGTTGGAAATGCAAGTAGCTGGATGTCAGTTTGTTCAGATAATGTTGCTCAGGTTTTTTTTTCAATTGAAAATAAAGTACAATCAACTGACTGAATATTAATACATCAGGTCAGGAGTAAAGCAAACTATGTAAAGTCTCGAAAACAAGTAAGGTTGTAGGTTTCGGTGTACTTACAAATTTGAGATATGAAGTACATCAGTCTGCCATTTTAAGTCATGTTGGGAAATGACACGAACTTTTTGTATCGCCACAACTAACCTCGTTCATACAACGTTAGAAGAAATCAGAGAGAAGAAAATAAATATGGTGAAATAATTATTGTCATCAGGTCGTTACCTATTTTTCCGAGTTGTCATATACTAAACAAAGATGAATAACCTGTGTCGGTAGTCGTGTAGTTTAACTTGGGGGAACCTTTTAGGTAATGTCTTACATCCAGTTCTATGGTCTTCGAATAAATGAATATTTTACTATTCCGAACTTATGTTACATTTTTTCGTATCTTCTCTATCTATGCCGTTATAAGTCCTCTCTGCTTTATGGGAATCAATCATAGTTTTGTCAAAAACCATTCTATCACTAATCATCTACTCCTAAGGTCTGTTTGTTGTCATGCGAACGATAGACAGATATATTAATTTGAAATCGCACTAAAGTTCATCCGAAAGAGATGAATAAAAAAGAACACTAAAATGCAACAGACAGGTGAAGAAGTGTTTATACGTATTTATTTTTCTATAGTGTAGAGATATTTCGTGTTTGTAGTTACATATTATTCTTGAACGTAATTAATTATTACAAACATCGATTTCCAGTCCCACTGTCTGAGACACCTTTGATTATCACACTGAAATTTTTATTCAGAAATGATAGTTGAAGTTACAATAAAATTCTTTCGGGGCATAATCCTAACTTCATGTCCTTTACGCTCTTTCAAATAAGCTTTGATATGCAGTTTCTAATCAGGTGTATTGATATCATTTCAACTAGCGGGGTTTTTACCGATGATTACACAAGCAAGTAATTACCCAACTAACCACACTAGTCACTCAATTACCACTTTCCTTAATCAGAATCGATCTGAAACAAATAGGATAATCGATTACCAAGTAGTTAATTACACTCGTTAATAAAGCCTTCGTATTCAAACTAAGTTTTGTATACAAAGATGATAACCGAGGTGATTTCCTTGCCTAACGTTTACAGACAAGTCCACATGTGTTGTGTAGATTATCAATGTGGTCGTTATACGTTTGATTGAGTAATGTATTATTTTCATCTGTTAACGTTTTTAACTACTTATATTAATTTGAATTGCAACATGATAAGACTTGTATATCATGTTATATTACGCTTTGATAAGGTATAAATGCAAATCTGTGGTCACGTGAGATGACCAAATACCAAACATACAGGGAATACTAGTTGTCAAGATAAAGACAAACGTTGTTAGTTGGAACTCGTGATCCAGTGATTTTTAATATTGGGTTGTAAACGAATCAATAATTTAGAGCATTCTGCATTTAAATATCATATTATTATATGGGTACTATGTGATTGCTCTCTTGTTTTTTCTTCTCTGTACCTCCTTTTTATATTTAAAAAATTATGAATGAATCTACTGTACCTGTTATGGTCATTGCTTTTCAGTTATTTTGTCTTTTTAATCAATGTTTGTCATCGTTTGGCCTACTCCTATTCGTTGTTTTAGCCCAGTAATCACTTTTAAGTATTTCATGCATTAGACTATAACTGACATATGTTGTTGAATGAACTACATGTAATAATATCCAACTGTCCGTACAGTGGAATATGGGAGGAAATTTTTACTGTTTTAACTCCATAGTCTAATGGGTTTTTAGTGGAATTCTTGACTCATTGATCTGTGACTGATTTTGATTTTCTGATTTTTATTATTGGGATTATAATGGACCAATAGTTCACTGTTTTAAGGGATTTAGTTTTTATTCATCTAATCTCACGGGTTTAAGCTCATTTATTTTAAAAAAGTTCGTTCAACGTACTATATTTAACGATTGGATCATAATAGTATCTCAACAACTACTGAATTTATTAGTCCATATTATTTTCATTTCAACTATAGGTTTTACCTACTAAAATTGGATCATTTTCCAGATACTGATTAGTGTACTTGGTTTCGATTCATGCTTAAGTTGTAATAGGTACTGATACTAACTGACTACTCGAACCGAAGTATGTGGGATGGGTCTTGAACCCCATGACCTAATGAGTAAAAGTTGAACGTCTTAACCACTGCTCAGCTACCATTCCTTTTATTTAAATTTTGCAAAAGTTCTATTTATCTAATGTATCGGTTACAGTACCACCAACTATTTTTCAAAGTCAGTTTCACATTTCCTGTTAGCTAGATGTAGATGTATGCTATTAGAAATTAAATTTCTTTGTCTGATAGTCAATCATCATTACTGTTAAAATCTGGTACACAAATGTGTACCTTTTAGTGTCTCAAGCCACTATCTCTCGAACCCTAGCCACGTAATTGCGATGGACAGAAGAATGACAGTCTTTTACAGCCTTCTTTCTCACCACAGTGCCAGGTCATAGGCTGACAACTTCTCCGCTTCTTCACTTCGTCCCAGCATCATCAAAACATACACGATGTGGAAGCCGCTATGATGACATTCGTAACACATCCTTGTCGCTGATGCCAATGTTCTAAGATAGAGCCAGTAACCAATTTATTGCCACTGTGCCCTAATACATATCCCCAGACCTCAATACAATTAACATGATGTTGCCATTGAACAGGACAGATATTTGCCGAGCCTCCTCGACTCAGAGACTCCATGTTTGCAAGGACAGGCCAGGACTACTCTTTACTGGTGCATTGTAAACGCAGGACTTTGCAGCCAGACCAACATCAAGATAGTGTCAGAGATGACCTAAAATGGGATAAGCTGCTCTGATTTCCACTGCACAGATTGATCTCATCGCTCACGCAACTACTCATATAAACGAACCTCCCGACTGCTTCAAACGGCTCACCATAAAGAGAGCAGGCGTAAGCTCCATTTCAAAATGTTAAGAAGTTTTCTATTTTCAAAACTTATCCAAAAGTTTTGATCAGTGTTCTGTCCAGAATTCCGCCACCATATTTACAAAGAGCCGGAGATAAGGTGTCTGGGCCTGATGATTTATGGCGCCACAGAAGTTTGAGTTACATACGGACTTCCGATGTCTTAGGTGGATCAGTTGATATATGCTAGGGATACCAAGACAGTCTTATCAATGTTCCTGGAACATTAGGCTAAGTAAACGTTTCCTCGAAAAACTGCTTATCGTTCCAGATACCTTTAGATATCACTGACTGATGTTCCATCAACCTCAGAAGTTGTCTTACATACACCACGCTTCTCGATGGCGGCGGCCGGAATAATTTGGAATAGCTTGCGCCAGTTTCCGGATGAAGCAGCTGTTTTGAACTCAATGGCGCGCCCTGACCACCAGATTTCTCCATCCTTACGCAGGCTTTGTACAATTTCCTTATGTATGTATCTATGTTAATTACTAAACTTATGGTTCGCCGGAGTAAATCGACATGCTTCCAAGAGGATTCTTCAAAAACCCAGTGCTTTAGGCTCGATGTTCCACGAATCCCTAAGAGACGTGAAACACCGTTTTCATGGAGTCAGAAAAACACATTCCATTCTTGTCTACACTTTATGGCTGACGGACTACAAGCTTGAAACATAATTCGGTTCGATGTTTGGTTCGGTCAGAAGCTTCAATCAATTTGCTTATATCAATCCCCCTTAAAACGAGGTGTTTGCTATTCACTGAAATACAAGATAAGCTTGGCATAAAACTAACCTTAATCGCAGTTCAGATAATTTCTCCAAAGAGATTGACGGTATTGTATACAGTTACTCCATCTGTAGCTGATCACTATGTGATCAATTTGATTCCAAGGTTAAACTGATGAGGTGCGACTCCGGGTAGCATTTCGGGGATGGTTGTCCTGGAAGGTGGTGCTGACTAGAAACAAGTTGTTGACTACACAAGGCTACAGGAAACGGTCACCGCCCTGAGATAATCCCGTATTGTTTTGAACTATTACCATCAAATCAAGAAATCATTATCTAACACCAATTTCTTCTTGCCATTACCCCTCTTCATTATCAAACAATCTTCGGTTTGTAGTTGAAAATGTCTACTTTCTGTTGTTTGCTCGTATTTAAACATTGTCGTCTTTCATTTTCTGTCCGAGATGTATGCGTATTTGACTAGTTACAATCTCTTTACCTCTCTTTTTATCTCTATCTTAGGTGGTCTGATTGTACCCTGTGGTGCGTTCGGCATTTTAGTTGGTGGGATTATTCTCAATAGATTTCAATTTCGTCGTAAAGGTGAGTAAGCGGTTGATATTGATCATATCTTTAATTAGTATATATATAATCAAACTTAGACAAAGTAGATATATTGGTTTACGTTGATCGGAAAGTTTTTTGCATGAATTTACAATACGGTTGATTTTTCAGATTAAACAATTCGAGTCGTATTTGAATACCATACCATTTCTTTAACATTATTCAATCGTTCAAATTTATTCTCATTTGTAATTCTACTAATATCTAACGAATTTCTCGAACTAATATATGACTTTTAAACATTGACTAACATGCTTCTACTTTGCAAACTCTCTATAATATGGTATTTATATCTGTTTAATGTAAATGTAAATTGATGGATATAAATTAAAATAAGGATAGTAGATATTATTATTATTATTACTATTTCTGTGAACTACTTAATAAAATCCAAACAATAATTGAGTAGAAATTTATCAATCAAAAGGTATATTTTAATAATTTGTTTCTATATCTATTTTTTTTTCAATTGGGTGCTTCTGTTTATTTGTTATTGATGTTTGTGTTTGCAGCGAACATAGAATTTATTTATTCATTCTTGTTTTTTAATATTTAATCAACTTTATGGGTTACAACCAACTAACGAGAAGAGTTAGTTTATCTCGTTCTCCTAATTTGATATTATTGTGCTTTTACATCAACTCCGCCTGTAGCTCTTATAGGGTTGCTGCCGGTCCCAAGCCCGGGTAAAGGAGGAGGGTTGGGCATGGGGTTAGCGTCCCCATCCCGTAGAAAACTAACTCGCTAAAAAAACGCTTACCAGAAAAAATAATCCAAACCATTTTAACTCTGCCCTGGGAGTTAGAAGGTCTTCATTTAGAAGAATTATGACGCTTCATGGTGAAAGCCGAGTTCCTTCGGAAGCCACGAGGCCGATGCCCCTTCTAACAACCAGAGCAAAAATTTTTATAGGTACATGGAACGTTCGAACAATGTGGGAAACCGGGAAGACCAGTCAAATATCAATGGAAATGAGGAGATACAACTTAGCAGTACTGGGAATCAGCGAAACCCACTGGACCCAAACTGGACAGAAAAGGCTAGCTACGGGAGAGATGCTGCTGTACTCCGGTCACGAAGAGGACAATGCTCCACACACTCAGGGAGTCGCTCTTATGCTGTCCAAAGTAGCACGAAATGCACTTGTAGGATGGGAATCTCATGGATCCAGAATCATCAAAGCATCATTCAAAACAAAGAAGGAGGGGATCTTAATGAATATTATCCAATGTTATGCACCCACCAATGATAGCAACGACGAAATTAAAGATCAGTTCTACGAGCGGCTGCAGTCAATCATTGAGAAATGCCCAAGAAAGGACCTAACTATTCTGATGGGAGATCTAAATGCCAAAGTCGGAATAGACAACACTGGATATGAAGATATTATGGGACGACATGGACTGGGAGAAAGAAACGAAAATGGAGAAAGATTTGCAAATCTATGTGCATTCAACAAATTGGTCATAGGAGGCACAATATTTCCACACAAGCATATACACAAGGCTACATGGATCTCACCGGACCACACTACAGAGAACCAAATAGATCATATTTGCATCAACAAAAAATTCCGAAGGACAATGGAAGATGTGAGAACCAGGAGAGGTGCTGACGTAGCTTCAGATCACCACCTAGTTGTAGCCAATTTGAAACTGAAGCTAAAAAAGAACTGGACAAGTGGACAAACAGCAATACAAAGGTTCAATACAGCCTTCCTTCGAGATACTGTCAAACTCAATGAATTCAAGATAGCTCTCAACAACAGGTTCCAAGCCTTACAAGATCTACTGAAAGAAGAAGAAACTACTATGGAGGACAACTGGAAAGGCATCAAGGAAGCATTAACTTCAACGTGTCAAGAGGTTCTGGGTCTAAAGAAATACCATCATAAGGAATGGATCTCTACAGAAACACTGGACAAGATCAAAGAAAGGAAGAACAAGAAGGCAGCAATAAACAACAGCCGAACACGAGCAGAGAAAGTCCAAGCACAAGCTGAATACATAGAAGCAAACAAACAGGCGAAGAGGAGCATTAGAGCCGACAAGAAGAAATACGTGGAAGAACTAGCAACGACGGCAGAAAAAGCTGCTAGAGAAGGAAATATGAAACAGCTTTACGATACAACGAAGAAACTATCAGGGAAATACAGTAAACCAGAGAGGCCGGTCAAAGACAAAGAAGGCAAGCCAATCACCGAAATTCAACAACAGCGTAACAGATGGGTAGAATACTTCGAAGAGCTCCTGAATAGACCGGCTCCAATGAATCCACCGGACATCGAAGCAGCACACATAGATCTTCCTATAGATGTCAATCCACCAACTACGGAAGAAATTAGAATGGCCGTCAGACAAATCAAGACCGGGAAAGCAGCGGGACCCGACAACATACCAGCTGAAGCACTGAAATCAGACATCGAAGCAACCACAAGCATGCTTTATCTTCTATTCAAAAAGATTTGGGAGGAGGAACAAGTGCCGATGGACTGGAAAGAAGGACACCTCGTCAAGATTCCAAAGAAAGGAGATCTGAGCAAATGTGAAAACTACAGAGGCATAACACTACTGTCAATACCAGGGAAAGTTTTCAACAGATTGTTGCTGAACCGGATGAAGGATGCAGTAGACGCCCAACTTCGAGATCAACAAGCTGGATTCCGTAAGGATCGGTCGTGCACAGACCAAATTGCAACACTACGGATCATCGTCGAACAATCAGTTGAGTGGAACTCATCACTATACATCAACTTCATTGATTATGAAAAGGCATTCGACAGTGTAGATAGGAAGACATTATGGAAACTTCTTCGACACTACGGAGTTCCTGAGAAGATTGTCAATATTATCCGGAACTCATACGACGGACTACAGTGCAGAGTAGTGCATGGAGGACAGCTGACAGATGCATTCCAAGTAAGGACCGGAGTCAGACAAGGCTGTTTACTCTCTCCCTTCCTCTTTCTTCTGGTGGTCGACTGGATTATGAAGACCTCAACATCTGAAGGAAAACACGGAATACAATGGACAGCTCAGAATCAATTAGACGATTTGGACTTCGCAGATGACCTAGCCCTCCTATCACGTACACACGAACAGATGCAGATGAAGACAGCCAGTGTAGCAGCAGTCTCTGCACCAGTAGGCCTCAGCATACACAAAGGGAAAACTAAGGTCCTCAAATTCAAAGCGGAGAACAGCAATCCAATCACACTTGATGGCGAAACTCTGGAGGATGTAGAGTCCTTCACATACCTGGGAAGCATCATCGATGAACAAGGAGGATCCGATGCAGACGTAAAGGCGAGGATCGGCAAAGCAAGGGCCGCTTTCCTACAATTGAAGAACATATGGAACTCAAAACAACTTTCAACCAATATCAAAGTCACAATCTTCAATATCAACGTCAAGGCAGTTCTACTGTATGGAGCTGAAACTTGGAGAACTACAACAACCACAATCAAGAAAGTACAAGTATTTATAAATAACTGTCTACGCAAGATACTCAACATCCATTGGCCGGATACCATCAGCAATAGCCTTCTGTGGGAGAGAACAAACCAACTTCCAGCTGAAGAAGAAATTAGGAAAAGACGATGGAAATGGATAGGACATACATTACGCAAATCGTCAAACTGCATCACGAGGCAAGCCCTAACTTGGAATCCTGAAGGGAAGCGAAAAAGAGGAAGGCCAAAGAACACATTGCGTCGGATAATAGAAGCAGATATGAAAACGATGAATTACAACTGGACGGAGCTAGAAAGGATTGCCCAGGACAGGGTTGGATGGAGAATGCTGGTGAGCGGCCTATGCTCCTTCACGAGGAGTAACAGGCGTAAGTAAGTAAGTAAGTATGTGCTTTTACATCGATTATTTGAGTTCTTTAATTATTTGATTGTTTCTTTGTAAACATCATATCTGCAGAAATATTAAGTGGGCAAATGTATATGTGAATATGTATATATATAACATATCTAGTTGCTGCCTACTAGGTTGCACGATACTACATAGTTTAAGAGTTGACTAACTGTAGACAAGTGTTATATCAGTTGAAGAATGATATGTTACAACTTACTGACTGAGTTTCGAACTATTGTGACTTTAATTTAGTTTTGTGTTATGGTCGTGCCCTTTATTAGAATGGTATAGGAAGTTTCGTATGGCCGTGAATGCGCACCTCTGAATAGTCCCATACTAGGACGAGACGATCGTTCAGTGTTTCATGTTTTCAATAGTGGTCTAGCTTAGATTGACTTGCGAATGCAACTGTGGAAATATTACCATCTTCACAAATCCCCATACTGATAATAAATAAGTTTTTATTGAGTGATTCAATGCACAAGAATAGATTGCGGTGTATAACTTAGCTTTTTTCTTGTACAAAGATCAGTTTCACATACTGACATAGTATTTGCATCGTTTATTTATTCATCTTGAAATATCGTCTGTATACGTATGTTCTTTTAGTGTAAACAATTATTCTGTTACACTTACTTTTAATAATATTGAAATGTTTTTATCTATTTGCTTATTTACATTTTATTTAATAGGTGCTATCCGATTTGTTCTCGTCGTTAATTTGATCATTTTAGCTTGTATGTGTTCATTTTTCTTTTTGGGCTGTAAAAATCCCTCAATTGCTGGTTTAACTGTGTCTTATCCAGAAGAGTGAGTTCTTATGTTAATTGTTTAGTGTTATAAATATTTTTTTCTGATGATGGTGACCAATTATTATAGTCCAGGAACGTTGTTTTACTGACATTGTGCTCTTTGACGAGAATTACTCAGTCCATCAGACAATCAAATGCAGTGACTAATTATACAAACTTCTAATCAAATTCATCTTATATTGTTTGTTTGAATGTTCCCATTGATGCTCAGGACTGCAATTGATTAGTCTCTTATTGGCATATGTGCATCCTGTGCGGATTGCCTCGATATTGCCTTCAATCACAAGCATTATAAGCAAAGATGGTGGTGGCTAGCAGTGGAGTCCAGGACGCGCGTTCCATTCTGTTTAGGACTCGTCAGCTGGGTGTACCTGTATCCCAGAGTTGATGTTCACTCCGAAACTTGGATCCAGTACCATTCGCTTCAAACGCCATCGCGTTATCCACTTGGCTAAAAAAGTGAATTTAAACTTCACCCCATCGCACAACCCAGTGGCTGTCAGGACTCAGTAGCTAAGTGGATAACGTGATGGCCTTTGAGGCGAACGGTACTAGGTTCGAGACCCTGAGTGAACGTCAACTCTGATATGCATGTACATCCAACTGACGAATCCCAAATAGGACGCAATGTGTGTCCTGGATTACACTGCTAGCCATCATGCTTATCGACTTCTGATCACTTTTGAAGCGATTCCTCGAACAACGAGAAGCGTATTACGCTCATACGATCGTATGAAGCGATTCCTATATCTCACTTCTATCTAAAGCAGTTTGTGTTAATCGTATTGTTTCTGAAGTCAACAAATAACTTCATAATTAAACCATTCAAATAAGAGTGAAAATCTTGACAAAAACTATTTTTGACTTTGTTTTTCTGAGATAAAAAACATTTAGATAATGTTTTCATTGTTTAAATAATATACGAATATATATATATATATATATATATATATATATATATATATACTGGGTACCTCTTATGTATGCCGTTTGCCATGATACTGAAAGGTAGATGTGATATCAATTAGGTCAAAAGAAAGCTAAAGGTTGCCAAAAGAGGTTATGACTTCAGTTCATAGAGTAATTGTCTATTTAAATAAATCATCCTGGTGGCAGGGGTTGAATTTCAGGTCGGAAATATGTTCGATAATTGTAATCTATGGTTAGAGAAATTTGATGACATGGCTCAAGATCGGTTTCCAACCCTGCGTAGCTGCACTTTTACTTCACACCCTCTGTCTCTTAAGTTTAGCGTCATTCTATTTTTCAATCTCAGTTAACCTCTATTTAGTCACACTTCTCAGTGTGTTTTACATTTCTGTATTTTGTTTTTCATGTTGACGACAAAGATAAACCGTACGACCGAAACAAAGTCGATTTGAGATAATGCCTTTTGAACTTTTCGCGGTAAATTCAAAAGGCAATGACGGATAGCTTGCAACTTGTTGAAAGCTATCTATCCGTGAAGGTTAATATGGGTGGGGAGGTTAGCCGTGCTTTTAAAGCATCGAACGTTCGCTGATACTCGATGATCCATAAAAACTTTCATCCTTTATGTGTCAACCGATGCAAAGGTTCTACCAATGATACAAAATCACGAACAAAGCGTCAGTAATAAGGATCGAGCACCAGGAAACCGCGAACGTCTTCGGGTGATTTTGGCTTTGACCAATTAACAATGGCACATGTCTTTTCTCTGTCTGTACCTGCCTACCCCATCTGCGGTGATACCGTGTCCCAAGAAGATTAGTTCTTTCTGCAGCAGTTGGTATTTGGACGGTTTTACTTTTAAGTTCTGTTGTTTAAGGCTATGAAGAACCGCTTTCTAGATGTTCGGGTGTGTTGCCATACACATTAAAGTCATCAAGATATATCAAGCATTTGTTGGGTGCCATACCTTGTAAGACTGTTTTCATCAGTCTTTGAAAGTTAGCTGAAGCATTCGTTAACATAGAAGGCATCATTTGAAATTCACACAAACCATTTGGTACTATGAATGCTGCTTTCTTCTTATCTTGAGGTCGAACTTCCTGTTGCCAATACATAAATGCTAAGTTCAAAGTCGAAAACCAACAAGCGCCTTTCATGGTGTCTAATATGGAGTCTGTCCGTGGAAGCGGAAAAGAATCACGTCTAGTTATAGCGTTAAGATGTTCAGTAATCTACTCACAGTCTTAGAGAGTTGTCTTTCTTTTTCACTAAAACAATGGGTGATGCCCAGGGGGAAAATGAGGGGATTTTAATCTTTTTGTCTAACATATCCCTTATCATCGCATCCCATTGCAGTCTGTAGTGTACCAGTACCCTGAAAGGTGGCTGCCGAAGGGGCATATGGTCTCTTGTGAAAAGAGAGTGTTGTAATGTTGTCGTTCGGTTTCCGGAGATACTCTCCCCGAACACAGAGCTTAACTGTTGAAGTACAGCAATGGTTACGCGACGATCATTTTCGCTTATTATTTGATTGCCTTGTACCTGACATACAACTTCTGAAATTCCCACATGAGCTACAGGTTTAGTTGTTGCTACCTTGACGTGGTGGTCGGGCTTGCCTATCGTGATGAAGCAACCGAGCTATACTGGCTGGAACAACCGTTCCTCAAGGTCCTACCATGTCAGACAGGTCGGTTGAAGAGCAGTAAGACTAAAAGCAACAAACCCAAGGTCCGAAGGCGAAGTCGTACTGCTGACTGTACAGAGATGTGACAGTAGTAAGGTGTTTCCTTCAGACAACCAGCGTGACAGCGATGCTGCCTTCCCACAAGGAGGGGTGGAGTTAGAAAAGGTCGACCCTAAAAATGCACACCTCACCTTACCTCACGGATTTCCGTCTCCGGCGGTAAGGCCCTTTGAAGAACGGAGCTAACACGTCAAAAACCTCCCACGAAATGGCCGTGCGCGACCGGCCTCAAGCAGTTGTCTCTTGGGCACTGCGGTCACGCTCTCAGGTCACTGAGACCGCCTCTAATCCAATTTCCTTTTCAGGTACCTCCAGAAGAACCCTTCCTCGGTGTGGGCAACCGGGAAGTGATAACCGCCCTCATACCTCTAGCAGCACTCGAGACCACTGTATTCATGATCAACCTCCGTCTTCACTTCCTATTATTCCTCCTACATCGACTTTCAACTCTAAACTTCCTCCTTCGGCTTCCTCCTCAAATGTCACCATAGCCAACGATCCTAGTGCTCAAAACTATGTCCCAGGTCTACTGAAACCTCGCTCCAAACTACACATTGGAGCCTTCAACTTACGCACCCTATGTCAAATCGGTCAGCAGGATTCCTTGGCTAAAACCCTAGAGTCTCTTTCCATTGATGTGTGCTGTGTCTCCGAAACACGCATACAGGATTCCAGTGTGGTCATTCACTTGACCTCACCTCGGCAAAACGGAGAGCCAACGAGATACACCCTATGTGTATCTGGTGACCCGATGGCCAGTTCTCGTGGACTGGCAGGTGTAGGCATAGCACTAAGCATGAGGGCGGAATAGGCACTGCTAGAGTGGATCCCCGTCAACAGTCGTTTATGTGCTGTTCGGTTAAACGGCTCCGTAAGAACTCGGAAGGATAGAGATACACGTCGCTGCCTTTTCGTCGTTTCTGCCTACGCTCCCACTGACTGCAGCTCAGATGATGTGAAAGATGAATTTTACAGAAAGCTTTCTGAACTTCTTCAGAAAGCTAAACGCTCAGACATAGTACTCGTAGGGGGTGACTTTAATGCTCAGATAGGTAGCTTAAACCAAACAGAAAGGCATTTAGGTGGATATTTTAGCATTCCGGCACAGCGAACAGATAATGGTGATCGTCTGCTGCAACTGTGCTCAGACAATCGTTTATTTTTAGCAAACACAATTTTTAAGCATAAGGAGAGACATCGTCTAACATGGCGACCCCCTACACCAAACCAACGATGGACTCAAATAGACCATATTGCCATCAGTCATCGTTGGAGAGGGTCGGTAGAAGATTGTCGCTCATTCTGAAGTACCTGCTTGGACTCCGACCACTCCCTAATACGGGCACGCATCTGCTTGCGCCTCACTGGACGCAAAAACGCCACAGTAAAAAGACCCATTAGAACCGAACTGAGTAGCGAGGTGTTATGACTGTGAAAAATAATGCTGCGGATTAAGGGGGAGCGAATTGTTGATCGGACCAAAGACGCACAAACACGTAGGACGACCTAGGGTTCTGATTGGTCCTGCTTCCCTGTATAACCCAGCCAGTTGAGTCCAGAAGACAAGTCACAACCCCTGAGATATGAATCATTGTATTTCAAACATACTCTATTTATATACCAAGCAAACAAACCACATCGTACCATAAAAATAGAAAACAACATTTTGTACAATATTCACAAGTGAACAGATATCGACCAATAGAAAATGTCCATTTAAAGTCCAAGGACACCATTGGACTTAGCATGATAATTATTGGTCTATTCCTTCGCATCCACAACACCTCCCCTTTTTTTTTGAAGATCCGGAGTTGATATCCGGATTTTGAAATTTTCTGGGTCCATCCTCCCCCACGAAATAACGTTGGGTCCTCATATACCCAAGCAACAGTTAGTCTGATTCGAATTAAAGCATATTTCGCGCATTGAGTAGAGGGTTCACTAAGACTGACTAGATGATGAGGATTAGCGACACCAGACATGAGGTCATTAAGGTTTGATTCTTGTGCAACATATTCTTCAGACCTCTTCAAAATTCTATCACTGGATAATAGGTCACTAAAACAAACAGCATCTTTGAAATTCGTATTAGATTTCTGACCATTATTTGATGCACGGGAAACATTTTCTGACACGAGAGGTTCTTCTTGCAAGCTGGATACCTCACATCTTTCAGGCACAGTGGGATTTGAACCCACAACAGGGAATGTTTCTGAATTTGATATTTCTGAACAACTGGGCGGATCATGAATGATTGTCTCGTTTACATCACTGGTCGTCCGGGATTCACAGAGGCTTTTATAGGCAGCTTCATATGTTCT